AAAATAATATGGGGGGAGGAAATATGGTGCTGCTTATTGATGAGTTGATTTCAAAATAATATGGGGGGAGGAAATATGGTGCTGCAGAAGTGCTGATACAAACATCTGATAATAAAGCATTTTCTAAATCATCGCGTCTTGCCTGCAACAATTGATTAGAAAAGAGAAATTATACTAAAACGACTGAATTAATCCAGCTTGGAACCAGACAGTTCAACGGTTTAGCAATGCCAGAATAACCTTTAAGGTGGAGAAAACTACTGCTTGGAGAAGCTTGATATCGAAAGAGGGGATTATCACATTGGTTAGGGTCTCACTAAGCCTTCGATCTCTGAGCATTTCTTTGATCTTTTTGTGCAAACAGAAGCCATCATATTTGGGACGCAATGCTGCTCTTTCTATCCATCTGATAAAAGCCTCTACAGAATGGTACACTGGCTCTGAATATTTGTTCCAAACTGACTTGACCCATTTTGTTATAGTGGTGTACCAATTCAGGTTATACCTGAAGGGGTAGATATATATCAAATAAATAATTTTCCCCAAGCTTCTACTATCCTCAAATTTGGAAGAGATAGTATTAAAGAACTTAGGAACCTACATAGCAACTAATTGTTGAGGCTGCTCTGATTCTTGAGGGAAGATATGTGGACTTTCTTGAAGATAAAATTTGTTAATATCTTTTGCAGCAAATAAAGGTCGATTATTTTCATTTGGAGAGGTGAGCATGGCTGTAACAAGGCCTCCAGTGCTGGTCCCAGCAATGAAATCAAAGTAATCTGCAATCTTTGCACTGTCACCATCCAGCTTCTGTTCAAGAAAGAAGTGTTTCCTTTAGCGCCTAATAAGGTCAGTGACAATCCATCTATAGGTTACTTTCCTGTCTGCTTCAATGGCTGGTAGTGGATAATTCTAGAGTCAGTGGTCCTTTTTGTTCAGAAATACTGGTGACCTGATTACCCTGGTAGAATTACACTCAGGAAATTAGATTCCACTGTTAACCAGTAAATATATGGTTATGTATAGTCGTTCTTAGGTAATTGCCAACTGAATATAGGCTGTTTAGAATTTAGACTGCTCATACAAGTACAATCTTCCCATCTATATTTCCAAAGTCTTCTCAAAACACAAGTTTCACATTGTGCAAGGAGCTACTCCAAATAATTGACAGAAAACAAAATTATATTCCATCTTAAGATAATAAATAATATTGAATAAGCATGTGAAAAATAAAAAATCATAAATGAAGCTCTCTATGATCAGAATGAGTTGTTCCAGTTGACGAAAATCTTATCCTGTACAGTGCTTTGTACGCGACGTTAAGACCAATAAACAGCCAATTCTTATTCCTCCTGCCCAATTGGCGGATATTAATATGATTGCTTGCTTTGTGGTGTTGTTTGCCATTTTCCATACATTTATTTGTTAGTTGGCACCTTCTTCTTTAAAGCCATACCTCTCTTTTTGGTTGACCAAGGCCTCTTTTGCCTTTTGCATATACCATTGGCAGAAATGGAAGTGGAATCTGATCTGCGGAATGTTTTATCTGCAGAAGAACATGATTATGATAGGGAAAAAGATCTGAAGGCCTTTGATGACACAAAAGCTGGTGTTAAGGGACTTGTTGATGCTGGTGTAGCTACAATTCCTCGAATCTTTTTCATGCCGCCTGAAGATATACTCTCTGCAGAGTTGGATGATCATGTAGATGGTTTTCAGGTTCCAG